TTGGAGTAACGCAAAATCTAACACATCAGGGGCGTGATCGGTGTTATCGGGAAAGTGAGTAACACCGAGAGGACTATGGACGGTAATATCAAGAGACTGCGTGATATCGAGCAGTATCTTGCCACTAGGGGACGTAGTGCGGCATGTCATTCAGTATGCTTGGAGTTAAAATCTCCAAACATAATGACTGAATTGCCTAAAGATAAAATGGCCTCAAAATCCTTTTTGAGGGGATAGGTTCCTGAACGGATGTAACAGGAGGCTATGAGGATGGACTGATGTCCAGTCATAGCTAGCCTGCATACCGTGGCTTCCATGTTGGTAAGCTGCGGAGTAGAAATGGGCGAGCAATGAAGTGTCTTCTTGTAATAGATGGCCGTTCCGCCGCCTCGGCGGTCGGGTCTGTCGTTACGAAGAAGAGAGAAGTTTTTAATAGAAAGGCCTCTAGTGTCCTTACCTTTGAGATTAGTTTCCTGTAGGAGAAGGAAATCGACTTCACGATTCCGAAGAAAGAGCTTGAGCTCTGGGAGGTTATTTCGCAAGCCGCGAATATTAAGTGATACAAGCGATAAACCCTTAGGTTTGATACGACCGTGAGATCTTGGTAGGTTAATTCGCTCAGTCATTGAAGTTAAGTTAATTAAGTTAACCTAACTTACAACGCTAACAGAAGGTTATTGTGCTCCGCAAGAACGAGGAGACGTTCTTGGGGGGGACTTCGCCGCGCGCAGTTTGCGTGATACTACTGTTATTTCCCTAACATCGATATTCCTAATAGCGGAATATAGCGTGTTGTAGTCGTCGATTGTGGGCTCTGCTTCATGAGCGTACGAGGTTGTCCGCGGTGGGTCTGCCTTTTTGGGCCCCCAGGGAAAGACTGGAGGCTGCATTGGCTTGGAGAAGCCCGGAGGGGGCCGAATTATGCCCTGAGGGGCCTAGGGGGACCCTGAGAGGGTCGAGAGAAGCCCTGGGTGGGCTGAGAAAGGCCCTGACGGGGCCGTTGTTGGAGGGCCGGGAATGAGCGGTCATTCATCGGCGGTGGAGCTTGCCTACTGGGGCGAGGTTGAGGTGCGCGTGGGCAACCCTTGTAATTAGCCGGGTGTCCTGTCTGGTTGCACAGGACACAAGCGGGCGGGGATTCGGCGTCTTTGGGCCGGGGACACTTTTTCGTGTTATGTGGTTCTAGGTACTTAACGCACCTGGGTGGGGCGGAGCAGTTGGCTGCCGCGTGACCATAAAGTTGGCAGCGGTGGCACTGCGCCGGGAAACCGGGCCTATGTGGGGGCTCTACCTTCACCCTTGACAGGCCACACACTGTGCGTACCTGCCGGAAGATGGCTTTAGCCTCCGGCACGTTTGTTAGGATTACTAGGGCAAGGTTGTATCTCTTGCCCGTTCTGTTGTGCATTTTGTGCACGGCTTCGACGGGAAAGCCTTGGGACTTAAGGTCCTCAAGTATTTCCTCGTTCGAGAACTCGAAGGGGACGCCTCGGATGACGGCCCTGACTTTACGCTCTTCCGGGAGAGCGTAGGTATGGTAGGAGACTTGTTCGGCTGTGAAAAGCCTGGTGAGTTTTCGGAAATCCTCGATCGAGCTGAGGATGATTTTGATAGCCTCCCCGAGGTTGACAGCATTGTCGTACTTAATTCCTGCGTCGTAGCAGGTTTTCGACAGTTTGGTGAATTTGGCCTTGTCTCTTAGGAAGACAGGGGGCGGGACTTGCTTCTTAGCAAGGACTGGAGCACATCGAGAGGAAGGTTTAGATGGAGTTGGGATGTCAAGGGACATGAGCGGGATGGCGGCAGCGGCGCGGGCTGCGGAAGGTGGAGGAGCGGCAGGGGCCGCTGAGATAGGCGGGGTGCGTTTTATCGCGGCGCGCTTTCCGTTGCGCTTGGAGTTGACGGCAGTGAATGTGGACTCCCCGGTTCCGTCGGAGTCAGAGGACTCCGATGAACCGGAGCCTGTAGTAGTGGCGCGCCTCTTCCGGGAGAACGGCGCCGAGGACTCGGAGCATGCGTACTCCATTTCTAGGGGGGCAGATTCGAGCGGGGCAAAAGAGTTCCTCGTTTCGAGGTAAGATGCGATTACCGGCGGCGGATGGTGTGCCTGAGGGGCAGTGAAGCTGGGTGTGGCCATTTTGGGTCAGTAAGCAAGCTGAGCTATGTAAAATAAAGATGAGGACGGGTCCCTGTTCTCGGTAGAACAGGGACTAGATCGCGAGACGTACTACGACACACTATACACGTAATACAAGAACACAAGAAAAAAAAGGAGACAGTTCAAAAAAAAATGATAATGAAAAATGATAATGAAAAATGAAAATGAAAAATGAGAATGAAATGAAAAGTGAAAATGAAAGCGGAAGTCAGTCAGACCTCCCTGCCCGAAGACAGGGGGGGCAAGAACTGTAGCGTAAAAGTGACTCTCCGGCAGCCTCGACGCTGTTCCGCGTGAGCAGGACAGCGGAGGCGCGTGAGAGCACGACAGCACTACCGTACTGTACGGGAGCGCGGACCACCTGGAGGTGACCGTCCGAGAACGATGCCGCCGGCGGACTGAGCACTGCGTCGGCGCTGTACAGCGCGAGCGGGACAGCGGGGGCGCGAGAGCGGGGAGCACTACCGTACAGGAACGAAAGCGCGGACTACCTGGATGCAACCGCTCGGAAGCGATGCCACAGGCGGAATGTGGATACAGGCATTGGAGTCTCTTTATAGGGACTCTAGTGCTTGTGTTAGGATCAACGGGGTCTACTCGGACTGGTTTGACATCCATAAAGGTGTCAGATAGGGATGTGTGGCTTCCCCGTGGCTGTTCAACCTATTTATGGACAGTTGTTTGCAAAATTTGAAAGTTGAAGAATGCGGATTAAGAATGGGTGAGTTAACCGTCAAATGCCTTTTGTACGCCGATGATCAAGTTATTCTTGCGTCGTCGGCGGCCGATTTGCAAATGATGGTTACATTAATGAACGGATCATTAAAAGAAAGGGGTATGAAAGTGAACGCAAGTAAGACGAAGGTTATGGTTTTTGAAAGAGAAGAAAGTAAAACGATTTGTGAAATAAGAATAGAAGGGGGAGTTGATCGAGCAAGTAGATGAGTTTGTATATTTGAGCTGCGTATTTAGCAGGGATGGGATGTATGATAAGGATATATAACGACGAGTGAATGCGGGAAATAGAGTAAATGGGGCCTTGCACTCTATTGTGAAGAGTCAAAATGTGTCGAAAAAAGGCACGTATGGCAATTCACAATGCTGTGTTGGTCCCTACTTTAACGTATGGTAGTGAAAGTTGGGTGTGGTAGAAGAAGCACGAGAGTAGAATAAACGCAGTAGAAATGCGGTCGTTAAGGAGTATGTTAGGGGAACTGAATGACAGGGTAAGAAATTGTGTAATAAGAGAAGAGTGTGGTTTGCAAGATGATGTTGTGACCAGGATTAAGAAAGGAATGCTTCGGTGGTTTGGTCATGTGGAAAGAAAAAGTGACAAAGAAAGTGCAGAATGAATGGCAGAGTCGGAAAGGGACGTCCTAGGCGAAAATTTATCGACCAAATTGGCGATTTATTGAAAACGGGCCAAATTAGGAGTACCCTTAACCGACGAGCATGTATGCGTAGGTGTATGGATGTGAAGGAGTCAAGAGAGGTGTGTCAGGATCGTGCCAAATGGAAGTCTGTAGTCTCTGCCTACCCCTCTGGGTGACAGGCGTGAGTGTTTATGTATGTATGTAAACAGCGATTGCCCACCAAGTTAGACCTATAGGGAATGATATTTTTTACTTGGGGAAATGCCTACGCGTACCGGACCGTTACCGTTATGTCGGACTCGCACCGACTAAAATTCCATCGTGTTCCATCTTCGCCGCATATTGGCAGGGCCATGGGAACGCTTCTGCATACATCCGCGACCTTACTCGTACCAGCGCCGATCACCTTTGGCAGATTCTCCTCGGGGAAGGATTTCTCCTTCCCATTCTCCTTTAGGCAACGCGCACCAGGAACACAAAGCGCGCCCACTTCCACGGCCTTTAGCTCCACCTGCGTAACGGACCCCCTGAGTCTGACAGGCAGAGGCCATGGTGCTTGAAAAAAACGAGCGCTTGGAAGGACCCGCTTTCCCAACCCCAGCGGCGGATCTGATCTCTGGCTCCGCACTGATAGTGGAATTCAGCCTAATCAGCAGTGAATTTTTAAAGGCAGTAATGAATGATGAATAAATGTATGGGTACTTTCATATTAATATTTTTAACATTATGGTCAACAATAAAGATATTAAATCCTTATTGCTGTAACTTTATGTTTTTTTTTTTTTCAAGAAATAAAACAATTTGTACTCAAAAAACAAACACCGAGTGTTTTTCATGCACATGATTTAATTGCTGATAAAGACATGTTTAAGTTGGAGCACTTGCCGTCGCCGCGAGTGTTTCCGTTTTTTTTTTATTATACATACTTACTAAACGGACTTACCGTGAAGATAGCTTCAGTATAAATTATGCTAAGGAGATTTACTTGAATATTTAGTTGTTCAATTTAACAAATGAAAATTATGTTACTAGTGGTGGAAGCTAATACACGATAGAAATAGCTTCGACCGTAGCTAGACGTTGTGATGACGTATTTTTTTCATATTTGGCAGAAGCTTATGTTCATTATTAAGCTACTGTAAGTAACCATGTCGCAGCGTTACCTTACGTTGTCGTAATTGTTTACCCATATTAATTATTTAAAAGTCTATTTTCAAATAAATATAAACAAGCACACAGTACACCTGATGATAAGTGAATGTTGTAGTCCATAGTCACTGTGTATGTCCGATATTATTAGATGCGTTGTTACCCCAGAGGACTTAGATAAAATGCCTCATTACCAGTAAAAAGGGTCTCCTGTTTTCTACACTTACTATACGAAATTTCTTTGTCTTTAAAATCTCTTTTAATACTTTGAAGAAGAAGCTAAAAAATAAAAATAATCATAAAATTTATTTTATTTGCAGGTCGAAACATTTCAGCGGGGGGAACCATTATATTGTCAAACACGTCCTTTTAACTCTAGTGAAAACTCAATTCAAGTGGTTACAGCAAAACCTTTGGAAATGTGGTGGCACGAGTGGGATGCTGCTTCAAGTACAGTGGAGACACCACTTTTACTTTCCTGTCCATTAACAGATAGTCTATATGACCTGTCTGTAGTGTCTATCGTTACGGAACCCTGCGAAGATCCTGTTAATGCATTTGTATTAAAACTCACAAGAAAATTAACCGAATACAAACGAACATTTACAATATGCGTTAAAGATATGAATTTCAATAAAAATATAGCGCAGAACCTAATAGAATGGATTGAAACCAACAAGATACTGGGCGTTGACCTTATTGACGTATATATTGATGAAATAACCGAAGAGACCCAAAATGTCCTATTAAGATATAAAGATCAAGGGTATGTTAGATTATTTCACGTTCCTATTAAATATAGATTTGAAAGATCCCTATGGCAAAGAAGAAGGGATCATTTAGTAACTTATAATGATTGCTTATACAGAAATTTAGCAGAATCAGAGTATATTGTACCGTTAGATGTAGATGAAATACTGCTGCCTAAAATAGCTTTTAATTTATCAGAATTGCTGAGACGTTTAAGAAAATACGGTTGGAATCCAAAAGAATATTCAGCAATTTTAGTTCAAAATGTTTTCTTTTTTGATTTTATGCAAGGAGTGAATAAATATAAATTCTTTAAAAATGGTTCTAACAGGAGTAAGATCTATGTCAAACGAGATAATGTACGAATTAACGAAGCGATCAATATGGATGTAGAAAAAATAGAATTAGAAGATGATTCTAATAGTTTAAGTATGTCTGATTTAGATAATTTAGATAAAGAAAATTTAAACAAATACGGAATTAAGTGTAAAAGGAAAATTCCTATTCCCAAATTATCACAAAATATTATTCGCTCAGCGTTAGTGAGTCGCGTTGGTTATTATAGTAAAAGTATGATGCTAACAAGAAGGGTATTAACTGCATTTAATCACTACCCTTTAACAAACCTTGGAATGACAGGTTTCGCCGGATGGTCAGCCCCATTCAGCGAAGTGCAGCTCAATCATTATAAGGTACGTAAATGGTCGATTTAACAAATAATTTGCTTTGTATTATTATGGAAATATTTGACTTTATTACTTTGTATTATGTTAAATCTTTTTATAAAACCACTAATATTGTATATTTATTGAGTTTGCAGTTATGTCGAATTAGAAGTAAAAATAAAAAATGCTTCTAATTAAAACTCTACCAGAGAGTAGAAGGCTAATTTATTTTCATCAATGCGGATTATTTTATTGATTGATTTGCTTGAAATAAAAATAAATATAAATTTTTGGGATAACTTTACATTGTTTTCGTAACATTTAAGCAAAATACAGTAAAAAATCTGTATGTTTATTTGTAATTATTATTTATATCACGTTTGTTACAATTGTTGTATAACCGTATCACATTTTTGTATTACCAGGAGTCGTGCAACACGACGATAGTGGCAGAGTGCGTGAGGTATGGACAACGGGCTCGAGTTGATCGCACTGCACTGCGACTGCATCCTCGTCTAACTCATGCTCTCACTGCTGCACTTTGCCATAAAATAAAAACGTTTTAAAATCAAATAGTTTTTAATTTACCTGATCTTAGAACTTATATTTTTGAAATCGCACATAAACTTAATATTAAAGCATATAGCATGGTATTTATTACAACCTATCAAAGTTTACTGCTGAATAGGCCTTCCCATTAATTGCCTCATATGGTGGATATTTGCTATACTTACCTCACTTGGCAGGCGTATTGGTAACCGCAGTTTTTTTTTAATTTTATCATTGTTATTAGGCAGGCCCTTAGTCACCTTTTACGCCACCCACGTGCGATATAGTAAATAAATACTCTTAAACCGTCATACACGGTCAATAGTATGGTATAAAATAAATGATTTATTTTAATGTAAGATTATCGCCGATCATGAGATTCTGAGTTCGAACACAAATAGAAAAACAATTATTAGTAGGAACTTTCTCTTCTCAAAATACGATTGAAATTTTGGAGTCTAAAAATGAACCCGAATAAATGCAAGACGCCCATCTTCTGTTTATACGTATCATTATAACTACATGAAATATTTTCTTATGAGTCATTAAGGGATATTTATATTTATTTTCTTCTCGTAAGGTAGCTATAAATATACCACATCATTAGCTTTTGAAAAGTGCACTGTTGCAAATTTTGATTACTTCCACATTAAGCAGGCTAATAGGTGGTGGTAGAGCTAAAACACTGGTGCTATTACGTTGCACTACATGTGGTAAAACTGTGTATTTGTGCTCATCATCTGAGGAATTTCAGTTCAATATGTTTTGATGGATTTTTCGCCGTCAGTCGATGGTCAGAACCTCGTCTGTCAAACAATAAGGTGCACTTATAAACAAAGAAAAACACCACCATGAAGTGCCATAATATTTAACGTGGTCAAGCGAATGGGTCGGCACGATAGGGGAATGACCATGCTTCCACAGAGTACAAGCGTAAAATAGCAACTTAATGCTGCTCTTTACAGTCAGTGTATAAAACCGAAGTCCCTATTTACTGGTAATCAGACATTTTAGCTTAGTCATCAGGACTGTGAGCTCGTTTGTCACCCTTATTCTATAAAGTAATAATAATAAGTGACAAAATTAGATTATCTATGCTTTATTATTTAATGTTAGTATTGTGTATATACAAACTAAATATATTTCACTGCTATAAACAGTTTTAACAAAATATACTATTGCAAGAAAATACAGTTAGAATGTTCCCGGAGGCATGAAGCTAAATCGTGTACCAGAGTAACTGTTTTCAGACTGGGCCAGAACTGGATGTTGCTCGTAAAGCGCCTATCTCAGATAAATTCGACATTAATTTGCCTTGTTTTTCCGTATAAAATATCTTCGCAATATTTATTCGGTAGAGGTTTTGGTTACAATTTCTAACAATAAATATATTCAAATCACAATTAGGTACCTACTGAAGCTATTAATTAGGTAACTTAATTAATTAGACAAAATCTTTATGTTAAACTGTTGTTTGTATTTTATACACATTTATTGTTCGTTAAAGCCTGATATACCATTATCTTCATTCGTTTCCTATCTCTCTTATTGAGCGCATTTAACTAAAAATTGTAAATATCTGAATTGATAATTCACTTTTTTATCAACTCGTAGTTTAGGGAATAGGTTCGAATCGAACTTGCTAAATACAATTGTTTTAAAGTGCTCTTAAAATGAAGATTTCTGGGTAAATAAATAAATTCATTGAACAAGGAAGTCAACTTCCAGTAGACTGTTACAGTATGCAAATGGATCAACAGTATTTTGCCATTGTTATTATTATTCCAATGGCAGTCGTTATTATCTGCCTCGCCTCTTGCATGTAAATTCGAGTTGATTTACATGCAAGAGGTTCCTGGTTTATTGTGAACTCTAGTCTGCTTACCTTAGGTTATATACAAATCTAAGTATTGTAACACCATTTCCAGGACATTGCCCGCTTCGAGTCTCTATGACGGCAGATCAGAACTATGCGATAACTTACTGTACAATATTGACGGTGTTATTTATAAAATATGTATTATGGAACTAATGCTCAATTTCTATAATATTAATACTTCTTGATGCATTAAAATTTTAAAGTCTGCTTAAACAAGATTAAATTTAAAATATGAAAATTTTTAATAGTCTGTTCTTTTATATGCGAATAATACACATTTATTTCAATTATTTCAATGAAACTGTTTAAGTAAGTCATTGTACTGTAATATATAATTATATGTGTAAATTTGTAATGTAATGATCTAGACTAGAGAAATACAAAAAAACTAAATTTTAGTGTTAAATTCAATATGTGCCCGTTGGTTAAATGGAACACCATTGTAGAAAATATACCAAAGCAGTGCAGCGGAGTTCAAAGTAAAAATAACCGGCCAGTGCGAGTCGAACTCGCACATGGGTTCCATACTATCGTAAAAGACGTTGCTGATTGGGGGCCCCCCTTTAATTTTTAATTTATTTTTATTTTTATTATTTGTTGTTATAGTGGCAACAAAAAAACACATTCTGTGAAAGTTTTAACTGTCTACCTGTTACGGATCACGGACGTATGGACGGACGGACGGACGGGCAGCGGAGGCTTAGTAATAGGTTTCCGTTGGTTACCCTTTGGATACGGAACCCTAAAAAACTTGACCAATAAACATCTTGAAAAAATATATGTGTTTTATATCCAGGTACTAATTATAATAATATTTTCTTTCGTTATTGTGAACATGTTAAATCGATAAAAACTTTGTAGCAATTTTTATGACCAAATGTTAAGTTCCGAGTCGTAATTTTAATTTGCAGGTATCTGTGAATCATATGTGAATCGCTAAATCATTAAAATTTCATAAGTATAAAATGCAATAATACTTTTTTTTTATATCGCGTTTTGTATTTGCATGCAAAATTTAAGTACCTAAACAATATGCATTTCACCGATGTGTATAGGTGTCATTTTGTGTATGACATGATTTTGAGCACCAAAGAGTCCGCTGTACTGTCTAAATATATTGAGGCGAACTTCACAACATCTTCTTGATTTTTTTTAATTTCAAAGAAATTACATCTCATTATGTTTCTTTCATAATCCTACAAGTAATAAATCAGCACTTATATCGTAATTAATTCAACAGCAGAATGTGATTAATGATTTCTGTGTACTAAGTCATCTATAAATGAGGCCTTTATCATTGTAAAAAGTAAAAACAAGTGAAATTTTTAAAGTTTTTATTCTTTATTTTTTACAACGTTTTTATCGAATTCTTTCATTGTCATCAGAATTTGAGCTATATTCAAAATTTCAACTTTACAGTTCAACTGGAAATTACTTTGAAATCAATTAATAAATTGCACCCGGAGCGACAGACAGATAAACAAGAAAGTGATTTATTAAAAATGTGGTTAAATGCTGGAAGACATATGTTTCCTATTTAATAAAATGCTCGTTATCTCGAAAAGTTTTTAAAAAAAATATAAAAACGCGAGTGTATTCGTATAAAAGGTAGTGTCAAAATTTCAAAGAAATCGGTGAAGAATTTTCGGAGATTAAGGATTTTAAATAAATTAACATTTATATTTTTTGTATATTTAGTACCTAGTCAATATAGGTACATCTAGTATAACAATAAATGGAAAAAATAAATATGTGGATAATTAATTATCGAACTTAAAATTATTTTATATTTAAAACAAATTGGTTTGATCTATTCACGTGATGTTCTTTGCTTTGGTGAAAATTATATTTTTTTCGTATGCAAAGCTCCCGTAAATAATTTTATTACATGGCTTTCTCTGGAATGCATAGTTAAATTAAATTTCTATTCTCATTCGATGCTCCGCACAGTCGAGAGTGATTTATATAAGTAATCAAAACTCTAAGAAATACCGAGTTTGCTTTCAAGTATCTTATTATAGCTAACTTACATTATAGTTCACGCAAGCAGCGTGCTTTATATAGTTTTACAATATTACGAAAATATAGTAATTGTTATGTGGTGTCGTTGAGTGGCTCTACAAGGTGCTCACAATCTCATGGAATACTGTTCTTATTTCTGGGCTATGTTATCCCAGTGTCAGCTCCTTCCACTTGACCGCACCCAACGGCTCGATGATGACCAGCTATATTACACCACTCTGCTATAAAATGTTATATTATTTTCATATGTATAAGAAATAATATAATCAAGTTTAAAATGTGATCCGCTCTTTTTTTAATATCCCTTTACCTTCACAAGAAAAATCCAAAATAATTATTTAGTATGATATATTTTTTTGAATTACCTCATAATTTTTTTCATAAAACTGAAGTGGCAAACAAACTCATAGTCCACTTGATAGTAAGTAGCGACTGAAGACCATGAATACCCGCAGCCAACATTAAACAGATAATAATAATTCAGCCAGTGAGTATTTTGTTAATAGAACCTACATCTACTTTTTTAAACGTGGTAGAGCCACGCTGCAGCTATATTATAGTTGCAGCACGAATGGGTCGGCTCGACCGGGGAAGGACCTCTCTCTCAGAGAATACCAGCGTAAAATAGCAGTGTAATGCTGTTGTGTTTCTTATGATGTGTGTAGAGAGCCGGAGATCCTTTTTATTTGAATCTTAGTAGCTCTTAGTAGTTCTTCATCTTAGTAGATGGAATGCCGCGACAAATGAGTTGCCACCCCTGAGGTAGTCCTCAACTCATTTGTATTTTAATTCTTAATTGAGGATAAATGTGGATGTCTATGGGCCACAGCATCCACTTACCATTAAGTGGATTGTGTGCTCCTTTGTCACCCAATGCTACAAAAAAGTATATTAGCTCTATTTGCTCATCATCATTGATTACAGCCCTTCGCAAGTCCTTTGCTGAATATAAACTTCGCCAAGGAATGTCACAAAGCACGGTCCTGAGCCACCTGCATCCATCGACTTCCTGCATGTCTTCCTGCATGTCGTCACTCCATCCAGTGGGAGGCCAGCCTACTCTTCGCCTACCGATACCGTGGAATTTGCTTGATAGTTATTTAATTATGAATTTAT